CAAACTGTGAATCCTACAGTATCAAGAATTTCTTGTTACTACCATTATTTCCATGTACAACAATCTATGGTACATTTACTCATTTATTCAATGACAGTCATGTCATCATCTTCTGGAACATCATCATAACCATCCAAACCCTTATTTTCGGGGAGGTCTTATTTTCAGGGGAATGCCTTATATTTCAGCAAGAGGCTAAACTGTAAGTAGGTCTTATTTTCGGGGGATGTCTTACTTTCGGGGCAACAGGGCATACCTCTAAATTATCAATTAGTCTTCATGAACACTCACCTGAAGTACTTCCTAAAAATGTCACTTTCCAGCATCAACTCAAATCAACTGTAATACACGCTCAAAAGGCAGTCATTGCAAATTACTGAATTTTAAACTGAGGCTCCAGATGGGCCTGAGAGCCCAAAACAGTTAAGTGTGTAACCATTAGCTAAAAGACTGGTGGTTTGAACCCATCCAGAAGCTCCTCAAAAGACAGGCCGGGCCCTTTGCTTCCACATGGTCACAGTGTTGAAAAGCCCGATGCAGCAGTGCTACGCTGCACCCCCAGCTCACCGCAAGTCAATCAATGGCAACTAGCAACAACCAGATGCGGCCGCCTGTACAGACTGAAGTTTAGGATTACTGCACTTTGAGGAGAGAATGAAATAGAAAAACCCATTATTATTTGTAATACCTTGTCCCTTATGGTGCAAAATCCTAGACCCCTAAGCTCTGCTACTGCCAATTCTTTAAACTTGAGGGCCGTACAATGATCAGATCAGTTTAATGCTGGATTTGCCCTTCAGTTACACCTCCCCTCCTCCTATCCCTGTGGTGGGGGATCCTCTGAGCTGAGGAGGACTGAGAGGGAGCCAAACTTATCCCAAGCAGAAAAAAAAAGGCTGTCTTGGTTCTGGCAAAAGTAAGAAGTATCTATCAGATGTGGTTTATTCAGACAGACGACTCATGAATCGAGTTTTGCCAGACCACCAGTGGGTAGGACCTCCTCCAAGTGCAGGCCGCTATTGGCTTATATTGACGACCCAGGGAATCAAAGCAAGCTCATCTCTGATTGGCGTGTGCAGGTTACCTCTGAAATGCTGTCTGGATTTCATGGTGAACGCGAGTGGAAGGGCTGTCAGGAACTCCCTGGTCGAGGGGCGTGGAAGCCCTTGCGGGATCTCAGTGTATCAGAGAAGGCGCGGCCTGGTTTACGGAAGCCAGGCTTGAGCGTCAGGAGTCCTGGTGGTGTAGTGGTTGCACGTTGCCTGCTGACCTCAAGGTTACCACCTGGGGAGAAAGATGAAATCATGTACTCTGTAAAGGGCTACAGTCTCGGAAACCCACCGGGGCGGTTCTACCCTGTCCTACAGGTCGCAGCGAGTCGGGATGGACTCGGGAAGTCGGCGATGAAGACTTAGGTTTCTGTAACGATAAGCCTTGGAGTCCCATTCACTCGACCACCAATGTCATTTTGTCAACCGCAGAACTCCATGTACACTTTGTTTCACAGCAAACACATCTCGTTATCCGCCAGTTAAAGGGCAGGATGCCTACCTATGTCCCAAATGTTGCCTGTGGTATACATTTCCTAAGAAAATGATTCGTTGTTCACCTGAACTTCAAAGTTAACCAGCCTTCCTGTATTTTCATTCGCTATGTCTGGCAGTCTTCTTGGGGCACAAGCCCCTAACCCTTCGTCGGAGTGTACACTGGTGCTCGCGGCCCCCACAAACATCTGACGGGAAGGCAGCCGGAGAGGACTTAGACCGGAAGGAAAGGGATGCTGAAAGAGCAGGTGCAGGCGTAGTTCTGTCACTTTGTAAAAATTATTACTAACGACTGATCGAGAGCTAACGGGTCACCTGTGGGAAATTCGGTTGCTTTAGTACTATCTGTCTCCCTCTCCAGCACAGCCCTAGTGGCGGAGTGGTTTACGTGTTGGGCTGCTAACTGACGACAAGGTCCGCAGTTCAAAACCACTGATGGGAGAAAAATGTGGCTTTCTACTCCTATGAGGAATTGTATAACCCCATGCGAGGGGTATAAGTTCGTGAGGGGAGACAAGGGAGCTGATCTCAAAGAGTTGAAGGAGAAAGAACATGTTTTGAACAGTACTGTGGCAGCAATTGTGCAAGATCTAAATGAACTACGGATTGCTACAAGTCTGTAAGAGGTCCCAATAAAATTGAGGGGGGCAAAGTCAGTCTTGAAAACCCACAGGGGCTGTCCTGTCTTGCCCCTTTCCGTGGGCATGACGGCGAGTTCTGAGTGAGTTTCCCCTAAGGGCCTGGCAGTGCAGTAGGTAAGCTACGCATTGAGCTTCTAACTACAAGGTCAGCGGTTTGAACCGCCTGAGCTGCTCTGCTCGAGAAGGACGAGGCTGCCTACTCGGGTAAAGAGATCAAGTCTGCTGAAACCCAAAGGGGCAGTTCCTCTCTGCCCTACAGGGTCCTTGGCAGTCAGGGCCCACTCGATGCCAGCGAGTTTGGAGGCCCTCTCCGTGCCCCAAATGCCTGTCCAGAGTGACCGTCCGAGTCTGTGAGGCCCACAGGGACACCTCTGCCCGCACGCAGGTCAGCCAGCAGGGCCCCCAGGCTGCAAACCCCGGTCGGGTTTCGCTGTCGCCCCGCAGCCTCTGCGCGCGGTCGGTGGCCGCGCCGGCGTCCCCGAGGCCCCGCCCCGGCCGGGCGGCGCGGCCACGCCCCACTCTGTGGTCGGACACTTTCGGGTCAGCTGGTGGCCGCGTCAGGCGGAGGGACGGCGGGCTCCGCGCCCGGCCCGGCTGGTGTGCCATGGCCGATGATCTGGAGCAGCCGTGAGTGACTCCTGTCTCTCTCTCTGTCTCTCTCTGCCCTCACCTGGAACTGTCTGTGGCCGAGGATCGGTTCCGGGCACCCTCCTGCCTTTCCTGTCTCAGGTCGGCTTCAGGGGAGGACGCGCGATGGCGCTGGCTCGCTTTGCTTTTGCCAGGAGCAGGGAGGCGGCTGTACAGCCTAGGGGACCGTGACCCCGAAACTTGTCTGTGGTTCGGCGGTGCTGACTCTCCACGGTGCTCGGTGCGCCTGATCATTCTCCATTCGCTGTGCTGGGAGCTAATTGAACTGGGCGCTGGTGCCAGCCAGCACGCCTGTGGGTGCAGGGGTGCTCATCACAGTATCTCTGAAGGCAGCGGCTTCCAAATGAGAGCAAGGGCAGGCTTCCTTGCTGCTGTCCCAGTGGCCTTCCCTTCGGCATGCCACCTGTAGGTAGTGTGACCGGGAGCAGCGAGGAAAAGTTGCTTTGAGAACAATGACTCAGCTCCCAGCCAGCCCTGTGGCTCGCGGGGGACCAGGCCTTTCCTGGATTCGCTGGCTCCCTTTTCAGAGCCAGAGAGCTGGCAGCCTGCCGAGATGGTTAACTTCGCGACCATAAGTCACAGTTCCCCAAGCTTGAAGGAAGGGGCCCTGGTGGCCCAGTGGTAGAGCCGCTGGGCAGCGCAGCGAGAGGACAGGAGTTTTGGGAGAAAGCTGTCCGCGTGGACCTGGTGACAGCGGTTGGTTTTGTGGGATGCTGGAAGGGGCTGCCCAGGAGAAGGCCGCTTTCCCAAAGGAACTGCACACTGCCAAGGATATTCCAGGGGGGAAGACGCAGCTTCTTTTCCCAAATGAAGAAGCTGGTGCCCATGTAAGTTAGGAGACCCACTAGAGAGAGACCACAGGTCTAGAACGGCCTTCTAGAACCCCTCTGCTCAGCCCACCCTGTGGTGAAAGGACTCCAGAGGAAGGAGACCCCACCCCCACCCCCACTCCCAGGCTAAATGCATAGCTAAGTGGCTTCTCTGTCCCTGGCTTCAGTCCCCCCCCCCACCCCCCAGCCTTCACCTCCCCAGCAATACTGAGCAGATAGAGTGACAGTTATGTGGAGTCTTTCTAGTGAAGAAAAGAGACAAAGCTCCCTGTAGAATTCCTGCTAAGCAGGCCACTGTGTGGCCCCACAGTGGCAGCGGCAGCACTTCCGAGTTCTGCTTTGCGTCTAGAGAGAATCATGTGAGGTCTCGATGCCCTGGTCTGACTGGTTGCTGGCTACTTGGCAAGGAGAGAATGTTTACCACCTGCTTCAAAAAAGAAACCCATGGCAAACTGATCCTGATTTATAGCAACCCTAAACAGCTGAACTGTCCCCACAGGGTTTCTAAGACCGTCCATCTTTACAGAAGCACAAAGCGCCATCTTTCTTCCTCGGAGCAGCTGATGAGTTCGAACTTCCAACCCTCTGGTTGGCAGCCAACTTAACCACTTAACCCCGGCACCACTAGGGTTCCTTACTGCTTCTTTAAAACTGGCAAGAATTCTGTGGACATGGTCCCATGTTTCAAGCCTGTGAGGAATTTCAGTAGAGTTTTAAAAGAGTCCAGCCGGGATTCAATTTCCTGAGGCCAACTCTCTCTGGCAAAAGCCATCGATGCGCTACTCTCAGCTGCAACCTCTGTATGTCTCTCAAGCTTCAAACGTTCATTGAGAGTTATAACTGCAAACATCGGGAATGTAGGCAGAACTTGTGACATGAAAGAAGGAATGTTTTTCTGAACGGTCCATGGCACACCTGGGACATCCTTCGAAGGTCATCCTGATGCTTCCTTTGAAGCACAGCATTTTCAGTCAGGATGGTCCCCTAGAACCCATGTCTACCTCTTCATTTTACAGAGGAGCAAAGGGATTCCCAGAGAGGGCATGCAGCTAGTTAGGGAAAGATCTGAATTCTAGAACCCAGACTGCAAACCCAGCTTTCTCAGCACCTCTTCCCTGGACCTCCCAGACCCGACTCTTCACAGCCATGTCGAAATGCTCATAGGGACTAACCACATTTCCACGGGGTCTCTTTCCGAAGGAGGTATAGCTGACGGTAAGCTGAGGCCTCATGAGGGTCACAACCCTTGGCCCTTCCAGTAGCTGGTGGTGTCCACCCCATAACCGCCTTTGTCCAGGCAGAATTCATAAAGAGAAATACATGGGATGAAAAAGGAATAGCACAAACTGCCATTTATTGAGCATCTGATTTGTGCTGGGCATTTTGCAAGCCGTCTTACACTCTGAGAGATTCTTTAATAGGCCAGATTAATTCTGCTCATAAAGGATAGTTTTATGATTTGGAGCCAGGTGTTTTTTAAATGACCAGCCAGGTGCTTTTAATCTCACCTCTTCAATGACTTAAGTCTCCTTGGTGTGAAGGAGAAAGGGCAATGGGATCTTACTTGTTTTACTGTCCCCCATGGTGGTAAAGGCCTGTAGGAGCTCTCTGTGCATTTTGCAATCTAAGAAACAAGCTCAGAGGCTGTTGAATCATAGCAGATCTCCTGTATCTGCTTCCTGCCTACCCGAGTTGTTCCTTGTTCGGGTTTGGGCTATCTGGGCTTCCAACTGGTCGTTGACACAATGCTCTGCACATCTAGAGACTTGGAGATAAGGGCACTCAAGCCCCAGGGCCCTGCTCACAGGACATGGGGTTCTGTCTGCCCTGCTGTCCTAGAACAGCCAGCCCTCAAGATGACAAAGGAATGTCTGAAGCATTGGGCGTTGTTTTCGTTTGGTTTTGTTTTCCTTTGATTATCTAGAACAAAAAATATGATAACCATTAACAAAGGAGGTTGTGAAGCTCGACTGAGATCATAAATGTGAAATTTCTTGTAAACTGTAAAGTGTCGTGCACATGATGTCCTGCGTATCCCTCTGTTGACACAAAGGGCATATTGTTGTACCAAGCCATTTATCAGGGAGGGAGAATAACAGTCTATATCAGGCAGCTAGGGAATTTCTGGGGAGGCTAGGAGAGCCCCTGCTCCCTGAGAAAACTTTGTAACCACCAGCAAGGCTGAGCGCATCAATGTTTCCTCCGATGTGGCCCTTGAGTATCTGTGTCTCCCTCCCCCAGGCCCCAAGGCTGGCTAAGTAGCTGGCTGCCTGCTTGGCGTCCCACGTCTATGTCGCAACTGAAGAATGTGGAAGCCAGGATCCTCCAGTGTGAGTAGAAGGAACATCTTGTTTCACCTCATTCAGGGGGCCAAGGCCTGAAACACTGAGCCGGTCATTCGGGATGGGACGAAGGGGTGGCAGTGATTTGCGAGAACCCCAGAGTCTAATAATTGTTCCTCTGCTTCTCCCCCCGCCCCCCAACCCTCATGCTCCCTCCTGCTCCTGCCCCAGCTTTCAGCTCAAACACCATCCCAACTTTTAATGCACAACACAAACCAGCATGCACCTTCTCGCATCCCCTCCTTCCTTCTTCCCTTCTTCTTCTCTTCCTCCTCCTCTCACCTTCCACGGAAACAAGTACTTCTTAGCTGTACGACCTTCGCGCACTCTCCAATCTCAGTCCCCTTCTCTATGCCCTGCCACGGCGTCTGGTCATCACAGCCGTGTGAGGTTCCCACAGGCCAGCTCCCGTGGCAGGGTTGTCTCAGAGCAGATCATCCCAGGAGCACTAGCAGCCACTGGCTCAAACAAGACCCTTGGGCCATGTTTCTCCATATTTCCCTGGACGCTCTTTCCCAACCCCATTCCCCCCACTCCTCCAGACGTAGCTACCCTCTCTCTTAGCAACCTGAGGAAGTTCAGCAGCAGGGCAGCTCCAGCCCTTGTGCCTCTGTCCAAGATCTAGGCTGCTGCACCTGTGACCTGTCATGCGACAGCCAACAGAGCCAAACTTGCATCACACCACACCCCGCACAGCGCCCAGTTTCTGGGTTTTGTTTTGGGTTTGGGCTTTTGCTTCCTGTCCCTCTTTAGTATCTGGTAAGGAGAAGCCCATAGCTCAGTCCACACTACTACTCCCTCCACCTAACTGGACTCCAGTCAGAAGCTCCCTTGCCAGGCACCTTCAGGAACACCATCCCTCTGCAGACAATGATGCCTTCTGTGTGGTCAGCAGTGTCCCAGGCACCTGAGGCCCGAAGGCAGTCAGGCAAATGGTCTCAGGAACAAGATGACCTCCCTTACTAGCTACAGAGTAGATAACCCACAAATTAAGCTTAGAATGGGACTCTTTAGGATATATGAGAGGGTACCCCATCTCCCCTTCCCCCCCAAAAATCCTGGAATTGAACTGGGCAGAGTGGAGCTTTCATATAATGCATTTTTCCTACTTTGGTGAGCATCGAGCAACCAGTAGTTAGTAGTTAACTCTCTCTGAGTCAGTGCACCCAATGGTGTCACCTGGGAAGGTCCTCTCTGGTCACAGTGAATTTTTTCATAAAAGCAGTTTCTTTCAAACCTTGTTTTTGTGACGCCCTATTTAAGAGAATAGTGTGTGGCTGTGAAATTTTGTTTCCTGTTTGGGAAAAATGCTGCAGAAACTGTTGTGATGTTGAACACAGCTTTCTGTTTAGAGGTTCTAAAAAGATTATGTAATGGTGTGTAACAAAAAAGGCCTGATTTGTGGCAGACGGGACTGGTTTTGCCACCACGACAATGCACCTGCTCATGCAACCATCTTAGTGCACCAGTTTTTAGCAAAAAACAGCACACCTCTCTTGCTCCATGCACCTAACTCACCTGACCTTGCTCCGTGTGACTTCTTTTTGCTTCTGCGAATGAAGAGGGTCATGAAAGAACAGTGATTTGACAATGTATAAGAGATGAAGAAAAATCGAGGGAGGTGCTGTGAGCCATCCAAATAGATGAATTTGAAAAATGTTTCCAAGAACTGAATCACAGATTTGACAAATGGATTAAGTGTCATGGAGAGTACTTTGAAGGTGATAAGGTTGTTTTGAAAAAGATGTAAATACATAGCTTTGAAAAAAAATTCCCTTTGGCGGGGGGTCGGGGGTACCCCCTCATATGATTGAAAGGTTATGGACGGAAAAAAGAGGGTGAGAGAGGTTAGGAAGGGTTTGGGAATGGAGAAGGAGCGCCGAAGTGTGGTAGACCAGGCCGAGTGATGATACTGGCAGGACGCAGTCTCACGGAGTTGCCCTGGGACTCTGCCCCCCCTCCCAGGTCTCCAGAACAAGTTCCTGGCCCGCTATGTGTCCCTCCCAAACCAGAACAAGATCTGGACGGTGACTGTGAGCCCCGAGCTCAAGGACCGCACCCCGCTGGTGATGGTCCATGGGTTCGGGGGCGGCGTAGGCCTCTGGATCCTCAACATGGATTCGCTGAGCGCCCGCCGCACACTGCACACCTTCGATCTGCTTGGTTTCGGGCGGAGCTCAAGGCCCACGTTTCCGAGGGACCCAGAGGGAGCCGAGGACGAGTTTGTGACTTCGATAGAGACGTGGCGGGAGACCATGGGGATCCCCAACATGATCCTCCTGGGACATAGTCTGGGAGGATTCCTGGCCACCTCGTACTCCATCAAGTACCCTGAAAGGTAAGAAGGCACCCGCGGCTTCCCCTTGCTCTAACTCGTGGCCTTGCTTGAAAGGCTTCAGTGTCAGTTTCCATGACTTCTCTCACTCCCCAGGGACTAAGGGTTTGAGTGCCTCCAAGCTAATCCAGCACGTCTTCTCTTTTCTCCCGCCATTCATGTAGAGTTAAACACCTCATCCTGGTGGACCCATGGGGCTTTCCCCTTCGACCTACTGACCCCAGTGAGATCCGGGCACCGCCGACCTGGGTAAAGGCCGTGGCCTCAGTCTTAGGACGTTCCAATCCATTGGCGGTTCTTCGAGTAGCTGGGCCCTGGGGTGAGTGACCTGCAGAAGAAACTCTTTCTCTGTAAGCCAGGACTGTGCCGTTCTGGAAGCCCTGTGCTGTTTCTGGCCTCTGCCGTCTCTGCTTGTTCATGCCAAGTGAGGACAGGGACCTACAGACTTCGTAGCGTTGTTGAATTGGACCAGGCATTTTCATTTGAGGTTTCAGAGGATTCTTTTATCTCGATGGAAAAATACTTTCCATGTTAGGGACAGAAGGAGCATGCTTTGGCTAGACTTCCAGAGAGAGGACGGGGCCGTGAGCTGACGCAGCAACTCCTCAATCGTTGTGCTAGATGTATGTGTTCTCATGCCAAAGAATTTTGAAGTCAGCTCTGATAAGCACCACCCAATCCCATCTCCACACCTAACCAACCACTTCTAGCTTGACCAGAACCAGAGCTTCCAGCACCACCACCTGTGCCCAGCCAGGAGGCAGGAAACACGTTCATCCGTCTGCTCTGTAGCCCCCAGCTCTTAGTTTGTAGTTGCCGGCTGCTGTGGAGGCGATTTGGACTCAGCTGGCCCCACATGTGCCAGAAGAGAACCGGGTTCCACAGTTTTCGTGCTGATTGGTGCAGAAGTTGAGCTCCAGGCCTTTTCCCCAAGGGTGTACTTGAACTTCCATCCTTAGTCGCCATCAGTTACTCCTGTGGGGGAAAGAGAGGGAAGCAGGTTGGAGAAGCCTGCCAAAGTGAATATGAGCCGCAGTTCCTGACCTCCCACTGCCAGCACCCTTCTCTTCTGAGTGAGAAGCATGCTCCCTGGATGAAAAAGATGGGTGATTTCTGCCTTGTGTGGATGGCTTATGTATAGTAACAGCCAAAGGCCAATTGTCAGCAGCGGCTTGGGAAAGGCTACATAAGGGCTCTTTCTCTAGGCCCTAGACACAGAATGGTTCTGGGTAAAAGAGAAAAGTTACCATTGGGGTAGATTGTAGGAGTTCATTGAAGCGTTTGGGAAGAATAGCAAACGCCTCAGGTGCCAAAGATGACAGCGTCGGTGAGCAGAGGGCCGCCTTCCCAGAGCCCCAGAATGCTGGACTCCGACAGAGCCTATGATTTTTTTTCCCCAGGGAGATCTGCTCGGCTGTGGCCACTCTCCCCTCTCCCGACCTTGCATTTGGCCAGGTTCACGCTTGGCCATCAGAGCTCTTGTGGCTGGGGTGGCTGGCAGCTCTGAGGTCTGAGCCAGGAAGGGGTGAGGGGTGGGGAGAAGTGGCCAAATCCTCCAGGACCTTGCTGCACCTCTGGGTCCATGCTCCTTCCACCTCCTGCCCCCCTTCTTATTAATAGAGAAAAACCAGAAGAGAGCGTTGAGAAGTTGATTAGGAGGCCCAATTTTT